AGCAACATGCTGTCTAATATACAATAGGGTATCAGGACCTGTATGTACACAATGGAAACAGTACAGATTGGTAATAATATTTCAGAGTATGGCACAAAGCCTTAAACTCACTCAAAAATACCTTTTGCCATGTAGTAGCACACAATATGTGGTATACTTTTTGTGATTGAAGCCTCACATTATCTTGAAATAATGATATTGAAAGAAAATAATAGCTTATTAAACATTTGTGATAGTAAGATGCCTTAAGTACCTTTTACGTGGAAATTTCTCTGCGTTTCACAAACTATGGTCCTATAATATCATTTAAGTTCACACAAATCTGGGGGTAAGATGAGCAGTCGGACAATTTCTAGGACATCGCAAATAAGAAGAGGTAGAAATCTGTTTTACAAAGGAGGCTTGGTTATTGAAATCCCATAAGAATACAAACAGAGGAGTATAAGGAAGCTGATTTTTGACCAATATCTTCTGTATAATGACAGCTAGCTCTTGATTAGGAAAAGAAAAGTACGTGAGCACCCAGTAATGTTTCTCACTAGCATGGCCTCCTCGCTTCCTGAAGTCAGCAGCCCAGTTGTGTCAGTGTGTTTGCAGTACCATCACATTAGACTGGTTATGTTTAAACTTGTTACTTTAATAATCATAAATGCAGTGGTAATAATAGAAATATTTGCTATTTGCCCATGCATATGAAATGTGAGTTTTTTCTGTTTGAGACATAAAAAGGAAACATCTCAATTTATTACCTTTTTCCTCAAAACATAAATTTGGGTCAGATGGAAAGAGTACCTTTAAATGTGGCAAATTCTGGGACAAAAAAACCCAGTTTTTAAATGTGAGATGAATGTGTTTAGTTTGTATTATTTCTTTTTTCCATTGCAGTCTTTGTCATGAGAATGGTTTCATGTTGTACCATTTCCTGCGCTCCTTACAACCTTTGTCACATGAATAAGATATCAGAACGCTAATGACTAATATACAGTATTCTGTGTCTGCTGATACTATACTGTACTACCGTGACCTTTGCAATATTACGTATTCTGATTGGCTGTCCATTTCACCTCTTCCCCACAAGTTAATAAGGCTGTAAAAAGGAGAGAACTTGAAATGGCCAGCCAGTCAAATTACAGAATATTGAAAAGGTCAGAGCAGTACAGCACACAGAAAAAAATTACGGAATATATGAGGCATTAAAATTCTTGTGACAATGATTATAACAAGAATGGAAAAGGATACCCATTTATGTTATTTCAATCTAGTGAACCCCATAGGATGACGGACCCAGGACAGCAGTAATTTACGCACCACCGACCCACAGGAGCTTTATTCACCTATTTACAGGGGTACTCAGTAACAGGAATGCACATCTGCTTGGGAGCCTCCTTCAAAGTGTCCACCCAGAAGTGAATGTTCAAACACAAATACTCACCAGCTAGAGCGCTGTGTGAAGTTTAGCACTTTTAAACAGTGATTTTGGATGGAATATGTATTTGTGTATATTTTAATGTAAGCATCTTTTCTTACTTTGTTTCAAGTGTACATAGTTTTCAAGTATGGATATTCTTTAGCCCTAATTTCTTCATTTGGATAATGTTTTCCTGAAAAACTGAGATACTTTGATCTGGTATAAAACTAGGAATAAATGGAGAACAGCTCAGGTTTTTCTTAAATACCAGACTTAGCTAAACAAGTGCCTCAGAAATATTGGGGGAACATGGAGAGCCTCATGAGCAGGAAGGCTAGTAAAAGAACAAAACCATCACGATGCAAAATTGTGGAAAGATTTAAGGAACATGGGGAAGCCTTTCATGTCTGCAAAGGGTTTAGTCTTTTTTGAGAGGTTATAAGAGATGGTGGCTTTGATCCCTCTTCCATCTGAATTCATCTTTTGGTACGGGTGCTTGCATGTCTGAGAGTTGAAGGACGTGGTGAGCCAGTTCTAGGAGTTTGTTTTCTGCCTCCATAGTTAGATTACTCATGTTAGCTGTGTCTTAAGGGGATCTTGCTTGTTGGAGTGCTGGTGGCTGTTCATGGCAGGAGTTACAAGGCAGAAATGTGCAGGAACGAGGAGGTATTCTGGTAGAAACCACTTGTCTGAAGTAAAACAATGTCTCTTAGACCTTTACCAGTGTCTCAGGCAGCTGCTGTTTAGATCTGCAGCAGACTTGCTGGTAAGCTACAGTAGGACCTGTGAGCAGCATGGAGAGAAAAACACACATGAAAAATGGAAAAAGAGAGGCCTTATCCACTTATACTCACAAATAGGGTCCACCCTGAAGCAGTTTAGGCAGGAATGGCACGGAGTGATATGACAGGGTTATCGCTGTATCACTTTCTGTCAGGCTGAACCTATGTGTCTGCATTTTCCAGCCCACTGAAAGCAAAGTTTAAGCAGTGAGAAGTGGCAAAGCTGCATACTGCAAGTCATTCCCAGCAAGACCTGCATTTTAAATATGTTCTTCTAATATTTTCCTTGCCAGTAGCAGTAAGTTGCTTGGCTGGGAACCGGCATAAAAGTCTGTGTAAAATTCAGGTTAGGAAACTTGCAAGTACTCCTCAGCTTTTTATTAGAAGCAATGAAAAAATTTTGAACTGCTATGTTGTCTATCTCATTGTAAATTTGCAAGTTCATTTTTGAGCTGAATAAAATGGTTATGTAATTACGTACTTCTCCTAATTATTGAGTAATTATATACTTCTTATAATTGCCGAGTAATCACTCTGCTATAACTAGAATTTAATGTTACAACTAATTGTATAATTACTGTATATTAATGTTGTTATCCAGGCAACTTGGAACAGAGTGTTATCCAATTCCTTTTCTGTTACTTGAAACTGTATTTTTAAAAATATAGTATAGTTAGCCATTGGAAGAAAGATTAATAGTGGAATAAAAATATCAGCAGAGGAATTACATGCTTTCATTCTGGGCTCAGGTGGATGAGAATAAAAATATTAACATGTTAAAACTGTACTGTAGATAGAAAAAATTTAATTTTCTCATGAATTGGACACATAAATTGCTGTTAGGGAGCCTACTTTTATGCTTGAGGTTTGAGTCTATCCTATGTGCCTTGATCTGTCAACACTGGATTTTTAAACTTTCCTACACATTGTAGGTGAAGCATTTTAAAAAACACATCTCTCTCCACAGCCAGCTGAGTCCTGAAGTGTTTCACATCACTAGGACCTTAAGAATGTATATATGTCAGTTGGCCATTTCTAATGGCTTTGTTGTTATTATAGGTGCATAGGTACATAAGAGTAATCTCAGACCAAATAACTCTGGTTCTGCAGAACTGGTATGTCTGTATGTGGAACGCGTAAACCATGGTGGTTGTTCTTGCATGATAAGAAGTTTTGCCTCCATTGCTGTTTATAAAGTGGGGTCTCTAAGGCTAATGTAAAATTCAGTGAAATCCAAAATAAATCCATCAGGTTTCATGAAATTACCTTCACACTACTGTAGTCTGTTCGGGAAGTCTGGTGCTATGGCTTGGTGTAATCCAGGTAGAATTTGAGCAATGAGGAACTAGACTACAAGGCAGATTTATAAAAAGTGTTTTATAAAACTCTCCCCTCAAAACTCAGAAAGTAAGTTTGCCATATGTTACCAGCAGAATAACTGAAAACACCCTTTGTGCAGCTCTGTGAACATCAAAATAATGGAATGGCTTGGACTTGTACCATAAGTGAATCACAGATTGTTTATAGGAATCCCAAAATTAGAGGAAAGTCCAGATCACTCATCCATGGTAAACTGTAATGTGAGCATGACTGAAATGTACTGCATATGCACATGTTAGTGCATATCATAGAAATATGGAATATTTGAAAAATATTTCAGGTTTAATAACATTTCAGTTTTAACAGTTCATTTGAAACTTGCATAAAAATTAGTAAACCCAGTGAGTTTCACTTAAAAAATTATTTAAAAGATAGTTTCTAGGGTTTTTTTAATTCTATCTTCTTTAGATCTTGTAGAAGACTCGGGTGTGAATATTCAATCTGCCTGTGACAATGCTTTAATTTAAGAAATTTTTAATAGTTGCATTCTGTTTAATCTCATTCGCATACCTGTGGTCTCAGACTCGTGTGATTCTGCCATTGTTTGTAATGCAGAATTTCCATCGACTTCCATGTTAAGAGCTCTCCATGGAATGATGGATAGTAGTAATAATATTAATCATTTATATAGCACTTTATATGTTCAAAATATTGGATAATCTTTAAATGAGCTCAGCTTTGCTCTCAGATACGTGAGTGAAATCTTTATTGAGTCGAAAAAATTTGTTACTTGACATACAATTTTTTTATTTTCCAGTCTTACTCATCAGGTATTTTGGAAAGGTTTATTTTATTATTTTTGTAGGGTAGAATATTGTCTTATCTTAAGTTTGAGATCTTAAAAGGGTTGTAAAGGACATGTAGGTTGCTGCGGTGTCCTCTGATGACTTCAGCTGATAAACCAAATACTTCAAATCCTTGTTTTATCTTTGAGAGGACTGCAGGCCATGCTGGAAAGCATGTTTCTTACTGCAGATAACTAATTCTTATGTATGCAATGGAGTTAGCTTATCAAATCCTAAGGTAAGTGTTTTTCTAGTGAATTCAAGAAGTTTTTCTAGTCTTTCATAGGCATAAGAATTAACCTTAATGTTATGAATTTGCAGTTATCACACAACTGGTCTAGAACGTGAGTAATTTCTGAAAGCTGGCTTCTGTTTGCAATGTATAGCAGTCAGCTTTGCAACTGCGTGGTTCGTTCATTTTTTTTCCAAGTTTTGCAAATACCACAAACGGTTGGCAAAAGGGGGAGAAAATGGTGAATAATATTTTTTCTTCCAAATAGCCCATTTTTTGGTGTTACTGGTATCAATGGCAATTTTTCACTTGAGTAGAAATAAGACTTGGATCATAAAGACAGCAAATTGTAGCAGATGCACGGTCTAACATTTGTTCTTCTCTCCCTTCCCCTGTTTCTTTTTTCATAACAGCTAATGCTAATTATTCTATTGTAAATGGTACTCGGATGTTATGCAGCAGCAACGAATCCAATGTATGGGTACCCATTAAAGGACTGATTCCATTTTCTAACTACACAGTACAAGTGAATGCTTCCAATAGCCAGGGCAGCTTGATAAGTGATGCTATAACAATAGACATGCCTCCAGGAGGTAAGTATAAAAAAGTGCTTTTTCTGTGCACGTAACAATTACACAAGTACTCTGTTGAAGAAAACATTTATTATTGTAACTGAGGACTGTAAGTTCAGAAGAATATGTTTGCATTAGTAGTTCTTACTAACAAAAGTGTTCTTTTCAGCGTCTAATTTGTCATATTGTTCAATTTAAGAACTAGAGAAGGAAAACAGGTAGTTGTATAGATAACATATTATGTAGGTGAGAAGTGCATTATATACTTCATTTTTTTTCTGTGAATGGTGGTTTATTCTATCATGGACTGCTAATCTAATCTAAGAATGTAGAGACAGTCACCTGCGTTTTGTAATCTGTTTTAGAATAAAAGTTGTAAGCACTGACAAAGAGCACTTACTGGATAGACTTAGACAATTTGTTTAATACTAGTCATATAAACCATTGGTAATATATTGAGCCAGAATCCACAAACTGGTATAGCTGTAAGAAAGTCAATTGCAATGTGCTGATTTATGGTGAATGAGTCTGTAAGCCACTTTGGAAGTTATCTTCATAAAAATTTGAAATAAGAGAAGTGAGCAAATACTCTCTAAACACTGCACAGGAATTTTTTTTTTTTTTAAAAGAAAGCTTAAATTTACAACTATATTTTTGTTCCTTTTGCATTTTCTTTTTGTGGACATCCTAATGAATTAGCTTTTGTTGAATAAATGCTAGTGGAAACAATGAATTTAAGGTAATTTTGAATTCTAAAGAGCCCTACAAAACTTGATCTTGAGAGATGTGATGTCTCTCAGGTGTAGCTGATGAGCAGGAATAGTGTAGAATAACATACATATCATTTGAAAGTAGAAAAGAAAAAAGGAAGGGAAAGGGAAACAAAGAGTCCCATAAACCTTACAGCTCAAAAATACAGTTATACTTGGAACAGTTTGGATTAGTTTTTGGGCCAAACCAACAGAAAGACTTCTGAAAAATGAATAAATAAGATGCAGAGTTTGTATGACAGATTACTGAGCAAGAAGGAAGAGGTAAATTCCCAGCACACTTTATACTTTTCCAATCTGATAGCCAAATTACACCTAATATTAACAAATATACATTGTCATATAGTAATAAAACTGCATCTTAGTTTTACTGCTCACTTAAGACTGAGCAGTAAGACACTGACATTTCTAATCCCAGTGTCACACTTCAATTTTGCATGTAGAAATGACAAAATTTGGTAGTGAAAATTTTACCAAATGAGAAGGTAAAGGATCTTTAAAGGTAGGCAAGGATGTGCACAAGTTTATGACAGCCATTAAGATACACTTTCTTTCATCATTAGATTGTTGTTGATTACAATTAGAAAACTTATAGCTTTGAAATTATCTTTTTTATGACCTTGTGGTAGTTTAAAAGCAATACCTCATTGATTAAATAGGTTTTAGTTCATGCTTCCTTTTAGTTAATGATCTGAAAACATATTATCCTGATTTACACATAAAATCATGCTGAAAAGCATGTGGCATTCACTAGGATATGTGTGTTTAAGTAGAATTAAATTAGCAGTGAGAGTTATTAAAGAAATCTTCCATACTATTGTCCACTGGTCTGTGATCTGTAGTGAAATGAATAATAAATGAAGCAGTGCATATGAGAGAAGTACTCTCACATACACTATATTCTGTATGTGCACCCATACAGACACACGCACATGTATATTTAGGACAATGTATGTTTACTTTTATTATGATCTTTATTAGAATGACTCTTTGAATGCCATACAATTCTATTGCATGCTAAATTATGAGTATAATGTTAATCTTACACTGGGCTGTATTCAGTGGCTTCACTTACAAACACTTTCTAAATCATTAAATGAAATCTAGATGCTACTGAAATCAGAAGGAATTTTATTTTTTATTTCAGTGGCCGAGATTTCACTTTGACAGAAGTTTTGTTTGATCAAAGAATGTCTCATTATGTACAAAATCACAGACTTTTAATGAGTCTTTAAAATGCAGCATTCTCTTTTCAAGGATGACAAAAAAAAGCTGTTTTCAAAAATTTCATTGTGGGCAATATTTCATGGAGCTTGATGAAAGATTGTGTAAGAGGGAGAATGGTAGAGGACAAAGGAGTATTCCATTTTGAAGTTACTGCAGATCATTGTTTTTCAATTATGACACAGATTTTCTTCCACCATGCATTTCTTTTGTTTCATTTTTTATTTAAAATGTATTGCACATAACATAAAGCACACCAAATCTTCAGTGTTACCTGATTGAATGTATATCTTAATTTCTCATCAAGCTGATTTGCCATGCTTAAAGTCAACGCTTAAAAAAAAATAATCTTAGAAATAAGGAATATATTTTATCTAAGCTCTTGACTAAAATTGCAGTGCAGGTTCAAGAGTTCTTGGAAAGATTAAAAAAATAAAAACTGAATCCAAATGTTAATCCATAAATATGAAACTTTGTTTTGACCCTTACCCTGTAGTGGTCTGGAGTTACTAATGGGGTTAGGATTTCAACTCTTAATGGGACTTGGTGCATTAGTGTTTTGTATGCATGGAATTCAGCATTCAGTTTAATAAGTGGTTGACATTGGTGATGTCCCTTAATTTGCTTAAATCTAATTGGCTCTTTTATCAGTCAAACCTGTATGGATTGGCAATTGATCAGAAAGGGTCAGCCATGACTGTGCATGTACTTAAATGCTGGAAACACCAGTTAAAGTCACTGTTGCATAATAAGAAGCTGAAACCATGAGAACAAATGATCTTCAGAGTCGGAAGGCAAAAGAAAGCGGAGAAGTTTTTCAAGATGTTCAAGTTCAGAACAAAGGCATTATGGAGTATATAAATTTTAAATACACTGCTTTTTGCCTCAAGACTTAAAGCTTTTTTTTTGCCAGATGAACTGAAATCTTGTCTGAAACTGTCTTTGTTACATCAAAGAACTGCATAGAAAGCTAAAAGAGATGGAAGAAGCATAAAAGGGCATAGTTTAAAATGATTAGTGACAAATTTCATACCGCTGAGGTAGAAGTAAATTTTTTTGAGTTTTATATTTTTTCCAAAAAGAATAAATTTGTTCTATTTATCTTGTCCTAAACAGCTTTGGTAGAAGTTGTAAAAAATAATATACTAGCCAGTGCTTCACATTAATTTGAGCATGCCAGCCAGTAAAAGATCTAGAGAACAAATTGTTTTAGAATTAATTTAATTAGGTAAATGAATTGAAATGATACAGCGGATGTAAAACTGCAAAAATCTGGGAGAAAATCTTCTGTACTGAGTCCTTGGTTATATATTTTTTTTCTTAATGAGTGCTATTTCTAATGTAGTGGCACACAGAGGACCTCATTAATTTAGGACTGCTTTGTAATAAGTAATGGTAAGCTAACAGAAAAAAAAAAAAAAGTTGCAATCACTACTGTTAACAGTTTATGCTCTAGTTAAATCTGTTTATTCCCTGCCTTTGAGCACAAAAGGCCTAGTATGGAAGGGCGTGTGAAGCCCTCTATGCAGGGGGGAAGAAAATAGATTACGTTGAAAAAAATAGGTGCAAAGAGAGATAACAGAGAGAGACAGGCTGCTGATCAGATGGGAAGCAGGAAGCTGGAGGCTCAGTCATCACCTCCAAAGCACAGAAAAGGACCCGATTCCCAGGTAATGACAAGAGGTATGAAGATTGTTGTGGGTGGTAATTCTGCATCCCATTGCAGAGTTGTCTCTGTGTGGTTACTTGTGTTGGGGGTTACAACCCCCAACTTGGTGCTGACTTATCTATAGAAAAAAGCCTCGAAGAATTTATATGTATTCCCTATGTAATACCTAAAAGGGAAGATACTTTGAAAAAAAATATTCGCCTAAGCAGTGATGTGTCTCTGGCATAATTTATGCAGTATGTTGTTCGTTTATATGCTCTGTCTGTGATATGCACAACATAGGAATGTGAAAGATGTCAGATTTTGCCTTGGACTCTTCAGCACCTGCCCTGTGCTGCTTCCTTCTTGTGTTTGGGATGCTGCAACAAGCTTGGGCTAGTTAGCGGCAAAAAGAGAGCCTACATACTTGTCGCTGTTGATGTTTGTTCAAAATCTACAGAGGATGGTGTCCTGCAGCCAGAGGATTTCAACCACTGTTAGTTTAGGTAGCAGCACCCCTGACACTGGATATTGAAACCCATCATAGCATCATAGATCTAACCATGCAAACAAATAAGAACCACATCATACAACTTATGTTCACATCTGAAAGAATTGGCTCATGCAAGTTGGTCATTGAAGCCAACAGACCTCCTTAGATGGATGAATATTCAGTAAATAAAGCAAACTGATTCTATTAGGCCAGAATTATTTAGGAAGAAAAATCAAACCTGAATATGCTAGAATTTTCCCTGTGAGACAGGTTTGTTTTCCCATGATGCTCAGTACACTTTGAGTCACACCATAAATTTTGTTTTGAGAGAATTTCCTTCAAATTTCAGGTATTTCTGAGACATTAGTTGTTTTTCTCATTTTCTTCCTTTTTTATAGTCTTTCTTCCTTTTTTCTTCCCTTCTCCCCACCCCATAGACTTAGACTAAAATCCAGTTGGATTCTTTTTGTTCTATATCTTCTGTTTCTTTTTCATTTTTCTTCTCTTACATTCTCTTATGTCTCCTCTTGTAAAGGTAGAGTAGTAAGAACAGAATTTAAAAATGGAAAAAAATAAATGAAAGGTCGTTTAGAAAAAAAAATCTTCTGGCATCATTCCATTTTATTCATTATGATAAAATTATATTTTTAAAAGTCCAAATTCTCAAACATTTGCATGATATCTCTATAACTCCAGAATAATATACTCTCTGATTTTGATAAAGAACAGGAAATGTTTTAAACAAAATTGTTGCAAACAAGTTGACAGGGTTGGGGTGGGGAGTGTTAACAGAAAGTTCTTAATGAAAAATGGTGACCATATCTTTTCTAGAGGTAGTTTAAGGAGAGAGCAGGATAGAGTAGGGAGGGGGAAAGACCTCTCATCA